CGGGGCACTGCGAGCGGCAGCAGGGACCTGCCAGCCTAGCTGCACCCCCAAAGAGACCACAGCTCATCTGATCATCAATACCGAACAACGCTCCCAGCATTTCCTACACAAAACCCACACCCGCGCGTCTCTGATGAGCACAAACGCTGCACAACGAGAACAGAACGACTAGGACTTAAAATACCATCCAGAAAGAGTAAAGGTAACGATTACAGGCTGCTGCTGAAGAACCAGCTTGCTTTCTGTTGACCTAGCTGCGTCAGATGCTTCATCAGCACTGGGATCTGCTGCATTTCTGGGAGAAATCGGACAAGATGGTGCTCACTGCAGATTGAGAGGTCTCCCTGAAAATAGCTCCTCCAAATTCTCTACCGCAGCACAGCCAAAGGCACGCAGCGGTAACGTGGTCTGCCTCCAGTCCAGCCCCTCCTGCGGGACAGCAGGCCCCCCACTCCCCGTATCTCAGAACGGATTGATTTAGAACTCTAAGGCTGGCAGGACAGACAAGCTTCTTGTCTCATTACCTGACATCATCAGGCTCGCTTGCTCCAGAGACATTTGCAGATATGCAACAGTAGAGAGGCAGCCTTATCAGCATTTCATTTTCAAAGGATGCAGCTAGGTCTACCAAACACGCTAAAAATAGAACGTGCTCAAAGCATTACTGCTCAGTTCCATCCAGGCAATTTGGCAAGTCTTGGAAATCCATGCAGCAGTATCACAATCAGAAAGGGACGAAGAAAAAAGCACTTACGCTGGAGCTCATATGTCTGACCACATCTCGAGGGACCACAGAGCGATCTTCAAGCTTCAGCTAAGGGGCGAGAGAGAGAGAGAGACTGAATTTAGTGACCCCAGATGATACCTAGTCAGAAATAATATGACAAATACAAATGCATGGTATGCCAGTCCTCTGGACTGAGAAGGTTTTCAGCAGAGGATGTGAAGGCACTTTCATACGCAGAGTTAACCCCCTTGGCACATTTGCAAAGCCCAATTGACAGATCTGAACCACAGCAACCAGGTGATCTGCCCACGACTGTGCTCGAAGTCAGCAGACACATCAAAAAGGGTGCAGACATTTCGACTCGTTCATCACTTCAAGCCTCCCCCTCCTCTTCCGCCACCTGCACCACACATCGCTTCCTACCCACGTCCAGCCTACATCCTATGGAAGCCAGAGGATGCAGGAAGACGCGCATCACACGACAGCTCTGCATCTCATCCTGCACGCTTTTCACCCAAGGTACCCCCAAGTATCTCTGGAAATCCTGTTTGGCCTGGAACATTTGAAGCAAGGTACTGTACAGCGAGAAGTCTCAGCTGGCAGGGGAACTGGTGCCAAATTCACTGCAGCAAGTACTTGCCTTGGTACAAAGAAGGAAAAGAAATGGCTGTGGCTGCACTCAGCAGCCCCCAGGTCCAGGCAGGTAAGAAAACGTCGATAAGAGCATGGATAAAGTCAAAGTCCTGCTCACACTCCAGCTCGAGCACTTGCTGGCAAACAGCTAGCGCTGGCAACAGACGATGCCGCCGGGCTGTCTCCCCATGTTCTACATCAGTTCACGCAGAGCTGCGGGCACAGGAGTCACTCCTGGTAAGGGGAGGTGTCACCGATGAACCCCGGTGACTGCTGCCCAGCTAACCGAGGCCATGCCCTTCACCGCGCTGTGCCAGCCACCTGCAGGCTACCTGCAGGCTACTTCATTAAGTGGTACCAGCAAGCTCCGAACTACGCAGTGCAGCTGCCATGGAACACACCAACGCTGAAATGCCACGAGGAATATCATCCTAACCACGCTGACAGGGAGCCACGAGACTGCACCCTGATCTCGGGCTTGCTCAGCCTCACAGTAACCCAGTTAAGATTTCCTTCTGCTGAGCAGGGAGAAGCCTCATCTCTGTTCCAGTGGTCAGGAACGTATTCGCATTGGTACGTCCTTCCGAGCCCCGCAGACACCCTACTCGCACCCCATGCGTGTCGGGAAGCACCATCTGAACGCGGAGTCAGGGACGGAGCCTCCTTCACATCTGTCAGGATCCACCTCTCCACTGCTGCTGCATCCGTTGCTTTTCCTCGTTGCGCCCCAGCCCGAAATCCACTGCACTTTGTCAGCATTTCACCCTAACCCACACCCTGGTTTACAGCCCGCTTTACTAAATCAGACGTAAATCTATAATCCAAGGACAGGATCCGGAATCAAACCAGAGCACCCGAGTACCTCCTGCCTTCCTGCCGGCGTGTTTCAGGAAGAGAGGAGGAGCGGCAGCCAGCCAGGCTTTTAGACCCAGCTCCCGGAGTCAGAACCCCACCAGAGTGGGAAACCTGAAGCCTCCCACAGCCCATTTCCAGACTGCAGAAGTGTTTTCATTGCCTCCCACATCCCACCGGGGTATACAGATAGACACCAATTTTCGTACAGCTTTCTAAAATTATTTGTTCAAACCAGCACTGTGCAGGCAGCCTCTTCACATCCAGCAGCCGGCCGCAACGCGCACGTTCCGGTCAGCGCCCGCGCGCGAGCAGCAGTCTGGGTATTCCACCCGGAGCTCTCTCGCTGCAGAGCTCCAAGCGTGCCACGCTTTCATTTCAACAGGCATCAGGGCAGCTTCACCTCCGACGCGTGGCGTTTAAATCGACGTCAACATGTCACTGAGCCATACTGCTCTGCTCTGTGTCAAACAGCAGCTGACGACCCCAGGCTGAGAAGACGACCCAACGACACCCGGTAGCAGCAGTATTTGTGTTTTAGTCAACTATGGTAGATCATAAAAGCTGTGAGTGAGCAGCTTTCCCATTTCGTGATCCTTCCTGAAAGATACAATCACGAATTCTTCCCAAAGCAAGGCATAAAACTTTCTCTGCAGGGGGACTACATCTAACCTATTTTCAGATCTCTTGATTTTTAAAGGCAGCACACCTATTTCGAGCTACATGTGCCAGACCCACCTGCCTCAGTTGCTAGGACTAGCAAGCCAAGTAGTAGGCAGAATGCCAGGATCAACAATAAATACTCAGCAGGTCTGTCATCACACAAGAGGCTCTCAAAACCCAGCCGAAACCCAACCAGAGGAAGCCAGAACGGCTGCTGATGAACACGTGACAGCTCAGTCGTTCCTCCCCTGGTCTCCCAGACCCAGAGCAATGCCATCACCAGCCCAAGGCCAGCCCCCACACTCAGTGGCGAGGGAACTCAGTGCTGGAGAAGCACTTTTAAAATAGGTACTTACAGCTCAGCTGCTATATTTACCTCTGCGAAAGTCAGTATTAGCATGACTAGTTTTCTGCTCTAGCCATGCGGCTTGATGGCTTGATAACAGCCCCAAGAACGAGAAATACCAGTTTTCCCGAGATGCCTTCAGCTAGTCCTGCACTCCTGCATGCCAAGCTGGGCTCAGCACCCTCCAAACGCCTCAAACGCAAGGCACATTTTGCATTGACTTCTTAAGAAATAAAAAGTCACATTTATGCACATTAAATAAGGCAAACACATGTTTTACCCAGGCAAAAAGGGACGCCCACCCGCAGCCAGGTACGTCGGTTAGTGCACAGACTGCAGAGGTGGCAGAGCTGTCCCAGCACCCGTTTATTTCCTCCGCTGTCCCGATGCTCTCTCGGCGCTCGGCTCCGAGCCACCGCCCGAGCTCCACGGCAGGTCTGCCAGCCAGAAGGCACCAGCACAAAAAAAAACGCTCTCATGCCACAGGCAGCAGGAGAGGCACAGAGATTTTCACCTTTGCACAGAGAACAAGCACCAAGGGGAGCACGCTCCCCTTCGCAGGGAGTCACTTCACCCCACCAGAAATAAGGCGGCCCTCAGGGCTCCCACCTGAGATGGGGCAGACGAGGAGAGAAGGACAGACACCGCTGTCTAGCTCGCGAGCATTAACTCATTAAGCCTTGGTAGCTTACTGCTTCAGACTACTTATTTGCTTTCCTCTAGCAGCAAGCTTGTTGTCTGAAGCAAAATCTTTGTGTGGTAAAGTGGATCCTCACTTCAGCAGCCGATTCAGCAGCCAGGTGTAGACATCCTTCGGCAGGGCTGGGCTGAACTCACACCGTAACGGTTTGGGTTTAACCCCTCGGCTCCGTAAGGCAAGCGGGAGCCATGCAGCCAGCTGTCCTCTCCAGAAGCCCCCTCTGGAGAAGAGACCAAACACAGCAAGCTTCTCTTGATGACCTGGACCGGCCACCAGCACCAAGCACTGCGACAGGTAACCCAGCAG